TGACAAACTTAATGATCACAAAGAAATGCTAGCTGTTGTCAAACACATCAAACATTAATAGTAAAAACTACCAGAAAGAAAATAAAAACAACTCATGGACAACTTAGAGGATCTAAAAAGGTTGCTCAGTTTTTTTTTTTTTTATTTTATTTTATTTTTTAATTAGTAGTTGAAACTAAGAAGAGTTTAAGCCCTGAAACGGTTCGGTAAACAGGCAGAGCTGATTACATGTGTGCAGTCAGAGCCGATGAAAGCCGAAGAAGACTTTAATCCTGGCAAATACAGTCAGTGCACCCACGTAGAGGAGAGGAGAACACGGCTCTCCAAACAATATGTCATCAAGCAGCTCGGCGAGTTCATCTGAGAACTCAGAGGGAGGAGGAAGGAAGTTACTTTTGTCTCTGCTACTCCCACTCAACCTGTCTTCTCCTTTACCCTTAATGTGCAGTAAAATAACACACACACACACACACACACACACACACACACACACACACACACACACACACACACACACACACACACACACACACACACACACACACACACAACAGCTGCACATGCAACAGTTCCCTGCAAGTCAACGTTACATGGACGTACAAAAAATGTCTATATTGAGTCTGTCGGTCCAGACCACGTCTGTAGGACGTCCAAACTAGGTCTTTGCACGTGGGTTCTTACAGTTTGCATGAGACCAACCCTACAGTAATTAATGTAATTAAGTGAAACGCTGGTTTTCTTGTAAATGTTACATATTTGTATGTAACTGTGCATTTAAAGAGTCCAAACGAACAAAACTGATTCATCTGAAACAGAATCTCAAGAACACAAGCCTGCTCGGAGCAAAGTTTTTCCACACAGGGATCTGGTTTGATCTGGTTTTTGAACTGGTCAGTCAAACTCAACATTTAAGAACAATGGATACGTAACAGAAACCGTCAGTTAAAAGACGATAGCCACATTCTGGAAGTTCGATGATGCCTCTGGTAGCAGATTTTACCCACTCATGTCTCTTTGATGATGGAGAACTTTCTGAGGTAACTAAAGTCATGATCCTTCTTTTTCTAAATGGAAGGGTTTGAAAGGTGTTTAGATTGTCAGTTGCTGAAAAATGAAAGTTTCACGTTTTACTGTTTGTGTGAGCGCAAAGAGGATATAATCCTTTGAATTTGTTTTATTCAAACAGTTTGCATTAATATCAACAGATTATCAGTTTTTGTTTCCAATTAAGAAAGCCTTTACACAAGACAGACTCCGCCTTTCAGAATAAAACCTGTTGCGAGCAAAGATGACACATGCACACTGTGAATGGTAAAAGTTAAAAAAGAGAAAAGTGCTAACAAAGGAAACTAAGGGAGACGAACAGAAATACTGAGCAGAATCAAAAACTAGAAATACCTGATATGTACTTTTGTCAAGATCGGCCAGCATGTGCACATCCGTGGAAAATGCAGCCTGACGGCGGCAAGGGCAGGAAAACAGTTTGTTCAAAGGGTAAAATAATTCCTCTCTTTCGCCTTGAAGACAAGAAAAAAAGTCTGAGCAGAAAGCAACCCCACTCAAACAGGGGCTGGGACCCGAGAGCAGGCCATGCCCTCTTCTCTTCCTGCCCACTTCTGCCCGGCTGCCAAGAGGCAGGGAAATAAATCACAGAGCTTCAGATTTCTGCTTACCCACCGCTTCTAAAGTATCACACGGATTACGACAAATGTGAGAAATAGCCACGTAAACTCCGAAGAGCAGCAGTCATGGGAGCAGATTATCAACAGAGACTCCGACTAAATGATTAGTTGCAAGGAAACGAGAAAAAGACAACAAACCTGGAGTAAAGAAGTCAGAAATCATTACTCACACGCTGCTCTGAAACAAAACCAGAAGAGCTGACAGATTTGTTTTAACAGTCAGCCAAAACGGTTTAGTGCCAGATTTTCACGAAGCATTTCAGGGCAAATTAATTAAAGGCTTCTCTCAGAGCAGCGAAAGCCTTTTGTCAGCAGTTGGCACCATTCCCAGGTAGGACATGCTTCACAGTCCCCATTCTCAGAAGTCAATCCTGATGTCTTTAGTTGTTCTGCACCTGCTTGTGTTTCTGTTCAGATTTGGTCGGTGACAGAAAAAAGATCAGCCCCTAACTTGATTTATTTAAAAAGCTGTGAAGCAGAACCGGTTTTTACTGTCGAACAGCAGGAAATGCGATTGTGAGGTGTTTTCTGCAACATGTCCAACAAAACTGTGTGTTGGGGCAGGGATTCTAACACACGCTGATGCATGGAGAGTCAATTTGTGAAAAGAGGCAAGTCCATAATGAAGCTTTATGTACGCTGTCACCTTTTCCTGAGTCGAGTGTTGATGTTGTGAAAAATCACAGACAGAAACAAACGTCTCTCCCATCAGGCAATGTCCAAGACAGCTCCGCATGTCACGTCATGAGTCTGTCATTTTTACACGTGCTTTAAGTGTCTCCTCATACGGTCCTCCATGTGGAAGTCTGTTGCTGCAT